CTATGAACCTGGAGAGAGGATGAAAGGCACCCAAGCATCGAGGATTCTCCTTCATAGGGTCGCTATGAGTCGCCTGCGATTTGACGGCATTTAACAACAACAACCACCATACCTACTTAATCTGTATGCTGAAGAAATTATTTGATAAGCTGGACTATATGAAGAAGAATGTGGAATCGGGATTGGAGGAAAACTCATCGATAATCTGTATTATAAACATAACACAACCTTGCTTGCGGAAAGTGACGAGAACTTGAAGCACGTTTAGCAGAAGATCAAAGAATGCAGTCTTCAATATGGTTGTGTTTCAATGTCAAGAAAACAAAAATTCTTACCACTGGAATTATAGGCAACATCATGACAGTTATAGAAAAGACCGAAACTGTCCACAACTTCCTTTTACTGGAATTTACAACCAATACTTTTGGTACCAGCAGTCAAGAGATCAGGAGATGTATTGCACTGGGAAAGTCTGCAGTTAGATACCTCTCCATATTGAGGAGTAATGATGTCAGTTTGAGGACCTAGGTGCATTTGATTCAGGCCATGGTCTTTCTGATCACTTGCTATTCATCTGAAAACTGAACAATGAATAAGCATGACAACAGAAGAATTGCTACCTATGAGTTATGGTGTTGGAGAAGAGCACTGACCATCTCAGGGACTAGAAAGTGCAATCAGAGTGCTCTTTGGAGGCAAAGATGATGAAGCTTTACCTCACATACTTGGGGCATAATGCTAGGTGAGGCTATTCCTTGGAGAGGGATGTGATGCTTTTAAGGACGGAGGGTCAGCAAAGGAGAGGAAGACACTCAACCAGGTGGACTGACACAGTGACTGCCTCAATGGGCTCAAGTGTGTAATAAATTGTGAGGATGACATAGAACAGAGTTCAGATATAGTTCATGGGGTTGCTAGCGCTTGACTCCACTCAATGACACCTAACAACAACAAGAACAACATTTTCATAGATGTTGATTGTGGATCCAAGTAAAATTAAATTCTTGTCAACTTCAATCTTTTCTGTTGCTTCATAGGCCATCTATGTGAATATTTGTTTTCTATATGTTGAGGCATAGGAGTCTCCCTCCACTCTGGAAGTCGGCTGGCTGACTGGCGGGATGGCTGGCATCTCTAAGGCGGCTTGACTTTGGTGGCAGTCAAGACAAGGGAAGTTTCTGGGGTCCTTTTTGCTGTGTGTTACTGCTCCTTTCTGCCCTTCAAAAGTAGGTGGGTGGCCCAGAGCCCTAAACTAAGGGGGAGGAAAGGCAGAGCCTGCGGAGCTTGCTCCAGGAGGTAGATTAAAATCATGTAGGGCCTGAGAGCTGTTTTTAATTGTTTTTGGTGAAACATTCTTCTAGGTCGCATAGCCCTTGTGTATCCACTTGTCGAACAGAGGCAACCTGTGGTCATTGTGAAGCTGAACACTGTGACACTGACGTGTCAAATGCGATAATGGTTAGCGATGGCGGACAATGTTTGGTGATGCTCCCTGGATAAAACAAGCTTGGAAGCAGGAGTGGCATCCAATTCCATAAAATGGCTTGCCCTGGGAAACCCTACAAATGTGGAGAAAGGATGAAAGTCATGCACTTGTCGAGGACTTTCATTCATAGGGTCGCCTATGAGTCACCTAAGACTCGACAGCACTTAACAACAACAACATGTTGAGGCATAAGCCATACTGAAGGCTGCACGCTTTTCTCTTCAGTAACTACTTCAAGTAGTTTTAACTTTTGCAAGTAAGGTTTGTCATAACACTGAGGAATCTATCTTTAATTCTGATGCCACATTCTTCTTCATAGAATCCATTTACTTGCTCAGCAGATTGTATACAGTGTCTGGTATAGAAGTCCTAAGAAACTAAAACAGTAGTTCGACTGAAGTTGAAGTATGTCTGCAATGCTGCCAGGAGAATTTTGATATTATTTGGTAATTATAATGACTTTTAGAGTACCAGAATAAACATTCAGTCATCAGGATAATTTTGAGTCATAATAACTCTCCAGAATAGAGTAGAATTGCTGCATAATTTCCAAGGCTAAAAACTTTAACAGGAGCAAAATGCTATATCTTTCTCTCACATAAAAGCTGGTGGATTTCAATTCCCAACCTTTCAGCTAAAATCTTAATGCTTAATCTATCGCCTAATATAGTGTGACAGTGAGTCAGAACTGACTTGATGGCATTTAACCACAATAGTATTTCAACACTAGAAAAAGAACTAAGCGCTTCCCAGCCAGTATTTTATTTTAATTCTTTTAAAAAATTGAAGGAGGAAGGTACTCTAATTATCATTACTTCACAGATGAGAAAATTAAGTTTAACAGGCTTTAGCAGATGTCAGGTTCACACTGTTAGTATTGGTAGCGTAGAGGGTGGGCTGGACAACCAAATGGGTCAGGTCTAACCTCCTTTGCTTATTCCCTATGCATTTTGGAATTCTAGAGGAAAATATAACTTTTCTTTCTAAAATGTCTAATATTGACTAATGGATTATGTTGATGAAAAGGTCGATACTCACACATTACTAGTGAAATCATTCTAATAGCCTCAAGTGGATTTTTTTTGCCCTTATCAGTAATGTTATTTTACATTAGCTTCCCTTCAAAGATAACATGAAAGTTGTGGGGTTTTTTTTTTGTTTTGTGGGGGTGTTTTTTAGTGCATAGTATTGCAGATTTATTGTAGAGGGGGGGAAAAACCCTTTAGAAACTTGACTTTAAAATCCTATACCCATTCTGGGAAACTGGTATTTATATTAAACAACCATAATTCACATGCCATTAAGAAAGGAAGTGGTTTGATTAATAGTTTGGTGTTTGTTTAATCACAGATGTTTGATAAGGGTTGGGAGAGCTTAGCATGCATTATCACTCTCATAGCTCAGTTACAAATAGAATAGGCAGGCCAGAGGCCACACTAACTTTTATTTCTTTTTTAAATGTGAACATGGTTAATCGGTTGCTGCTGTTGTTTTAGGTGCCTTCAAGTCAATTCCAGCTCAGAGCAACCTTATGCACAACAGATTGAAATCCTGCTCAATTCTGTACCATTCTCACAATCCCTGCTGTGCTTCTGCCCATTGTTGTATTCACTGTAGTCTATTCATCTTGCTGAGGGCCTTTTCCTTGACTGACACTCTACTTTCACAAGTATAATGTCCTTTTCCAAGGACTGGCCTCTCCTAATAACATGCCCAAAGGATGTAAAAGGCAGTCTCATTATCTTTGCTTTAAGGAGCACTCTAGGTTGTACTCCTTCCAAGACAGATCTGTTTGTTCATTTGATAGTTCATGGGATATTTAACACTTCTTTCTCACCAACACCACAATTCAAAGCAGTGTTAAAGTTAAGGAACAACCATTTTTATAAGAAAACGTGCTTGGAAATATAATTTGCTGGCACAAGACATCAAATAATGCCGGTAAATGTTACAGACAGACAACTTATTGTTAGCAAAGTCAACACCTTTATTATAGTTTATGATATGCAATGATTTAGAATCATATAAAGATTTTAATATTTTTTGAAGAAATAGAATTTGACTAGTATTAGCAGAACATTAACACTATTTTAAGATGACATTTAGAAATCACTATATTATGATTGAGGTGATTTAAAATAATTTTTGTTGTTATTATGAAATAATTAAAATTGCTATTAGGAAAACAGATCGCTGCTTACATTTCTTCATACATTTCATTCCTCTGAGAAGTAAGTGTAACTACTGGAAATTCTTAGAGAGGGAGCAGGTGCTCCTTGGAGATTGTCTTCTTGATTCAGTCGTCTCCTCCACAGATCTTTACCAGTGTGGTTTCATAATATCCAGAAGTATCAGACTGCAAAGAATAGGACAAAAGGAAGGAAAAATAGACACAATATTAATTAATAGACACAATATTAATTAATAGGCTTGATATTAATAATGAGGCATCTGTAATGAATCAACTTCCACTTCTCTTCTGTGTAAGACTAACCACTTAGTGACATGCACCTGTGATCCCATAATCAAATCTAACTGTTGTTAGGCCCCGGCCAAATCTACTGCTATCCAGTCAACTTGATTAATGGAGGCCTTCATTTGAGTTTCTGAGGCTGTAGATCTTAATGGAGGCAGAATATCTCATACCTTCCAGGTAGATATGAATCACTGACATTTAGGTTAGCAGACTCACTATGCCCAAATCATCTTTGGCTCATGGGGACTAGTGGCCAAAACTGTACAATGGAAAGAAACCTTGCCTGACTGTTTCATGCTATCTTCACAATTGTTGTCATGTGTAAGCTCATTGTTGTGGTGATGGTGTAGTTTCAATGTATTCCAACCTATGGCCCTCATTTCTCTATTGTGATGCACGGTATTTTCATTCACTAATTTTCAAATGTAGATCACTAGGCTTTTCTTCTTAATCTGTCTCAGTCAAGAAACTGCTGAAACGTGTCCAACAAACTTGATCCTATTGCTATTTGAAATTCTGACGGCACCATCATAGCAACATGCAATCCACCAAAAAATAAACAAACTAGGTAACAGACTATTCATTATACTAATTCACTGTTAATAATTATATTGTTATTGTTGTTGTAATCGAATTGCTTGAGACTCATGTACCCTACATATAATAAGAGCCTTAAACTCTGCTCTATTCTCTCCAACACACTTACCCTCATTACCGCAATCACTGAATCGATCCATCTCATCAAGGGTCTTCCTCTCTTGCGCTGTCCCTCCAACCTCCCAAACATGATATTCCTTTCCAAGGACTGATCCCTCCTTGCAATATGCCCAAAGTATGTCAGACGAAGCTTCAGAATCCTTGCCTCCAAGGAGCAGCCTGGTGTCATACTCTCCAGGACGAACCTATTTGTTCTCCTAGGTAGATTCAACACTCTTCTCCAGCAACACAGCTCAAAGGCATCAATTCTCTATCATCCTTCATCACTGCCCAGCTCTCTGATGCGTAGCATGCAACTGTGAAGACTATAGCCTGGATCAGGAACACCTTAGTCTCCAGCCTGACGTCATTGTTCTTCAGTACTCTGGAGAGGTCCCTGACAGCTGATTTTCCTAATGCAATTCGTCTCTTGATCTCCTGACTTCTGGTACCAAGAGTGTTGACTGAGGAGCCAAGCAAACTAAAGCTGTTAATAATCTTAATCTCTTCACTATCTATCATGTTGCTACAATTTAATATGTTGAACAAAATATAAATAAGAAAAAGAGTAATAGTCAAATTTTCATTTGGCTGCTATCCCATTTATGTAGAGAGACACACTAGGTTTTCATTTCCCTTTCTTCTTTTCCTCTCCCTTGCACCCACCAATTATTTGCAAAAGGTGTTAATGAACAGAAAAATCCCTAAACAATAGGCAAAAGGAAGAGGAGGACAGAACAAAATGCCAGATCACATACAAAACAAATCTTCATTCCCTAAATGAATGGAATTTAACCATTTGAAAAGACCTTGTTTATCAGCAGCACAAATGTAATGCGATTATTTAATAATGCAGTCTAGGTGGTAGAAATGAAGAAATCTCATATTGTTTCATATTATAAATGAAACTCTTCAGCAATGCATTTTTCTTTTCTATCAAAATACACATAGTTTAAATGTTTTCTAATACAATAAGCTTCAATTACCCAGACCACTGGGGGACAGAGAGCTTCTAGTTAATTTAATTTTATGGTTTGCTGAAGGTGAACCAAAAGCGCTATTTTGTGTTTCAACTTTGTTACTGACAATCTTTATAAAATATATGAGTTTACTTTCTGCCTTAGTAAGTACAATACAGTTAACTTTATTGAATCTTCCTTTGATGATTGAAGCTATTATAATGTGCCAGGATCAATTCAAATAGAATTGAGTGTGAGCAGCTGACCAAACCTGCGCTAAGCTCCAGGCAAAATCTGAGTTGCCTTTCTAAGTAAATTTGAGTAAATTACTTATTTCCATTCATCGCTTTATACATCACAATCTTTCTGTAATCATTTTATGCAAAACCAAATATCCTACTTCTAATATATACTTTTTGGTGTTTTAAAGTGTGAAATTTATATCAATAATGTATTTTTATAGGCTCAATGCATCTAAGTTATTATCTTTTCAGCACATAATCAATGATAATTGTTAAGATTGCATTCATTTGTTTTGCACTGTCTTTAAAACCTAGTCTCTTTTAAAAATTTTTTTATTATTAATTTTAATAAACATTTACAGAGGTTTTGGATTTCCATTCATTCATTGCCGCAATTTTCTCCCTGCCCATCTTTCCCCACCAGTTCGCTCCTCTCTCTGAAAAGAAAGAAAAAAAATCCCAAACAAACCTAGTCTAACTTGCACTGATAGCACATATCAAAATAGACTAAGCACATTTCGAAATAGTCATGTCTGGCTTTGCTATTATGTACTGTTGAGTTGGAACCAATTCATAAACTGACCCTGTAGTGGGTCTTCACAGGTAGTAGCTCTTTAGTACTTTGTAAAGGTCCTTGACAGCAGATTTTCCCAGTTCAACATGTCTTCTGATTTCTTGACTGCTGGTAACGAGGGTGTTGTTTGTGAATCCAAGCAAGATTAAACAGTTGATAACTTAAATCTTCTCTCCATCTCAAAGGTACTGTTCCGACTTGACAGCACACAACAACAACAACAACAACAAATCTATGTTGCTTATCCTTCTTCTACGGAGCGGCTGATGGATTTCTTCTACGGTACTCCATAGAAGAAGGATAAGCAACATAGATTTTGTTGCTGTTTTTGTGTGCTATCAAGTCGGAACAGACCCATAGCAGACCCACCAGAGGGCTTTCAGAGGACTCTGAATCATACTGTAGCAGAGAGAAGAATTCTCATCCTTCTTCCCTGGAGCAGGTGGTAAATTCAAACCATATACCTTAGGGATTACAGCACAGATGGTTGCACTGCTAAGCCAAAGGCAACATCTCTCTGGCAGTTCAAATTCACAAATTGCTCCACAGGAGAAAGTTGGGCAATTTCCTCTATGTGATTTACAGCCTCCAGAAACCTTTTGGAAGGTCACTGTGAGTTTATTCCAACTTAACAGCAATGACTTGAATAAGATATATATTGTTGTTGCATACCATTGAGTTGGAACCAGCCCATAGCTGGTGGACTCAAACTGCATGCCTTTGGGATTACAGCTCAGCTTCTTGCCACTAGGCCACAAGGTCCCTCCAATCTCATGCATACTAATAAAAATGTATATTCAGACTACATGAACATACTGAGCATCCCAGAAACAATAGAAAACTCAACAGAATAGAAAACAACAAATGTTGGAGAGGTCGTGGAGAGAGTGGAACCCTTACTCACTACTGCGGGGAGTGTAAAATTGTCCAGCCATTATAAAAGGTGGTCTGGCACTGGGAATATACCCTAAAGACAACAGAACCATAACTAAAACAGATGTATGCACATCAATGTTTATTGCTGCATTACTGACAATAGCAAAGAGATTGAAGCAATTTAAGTGCCCATCAACAAATGGATAGAAAAAAAGGATAGTATATTCACACAGTGGAATACTACGCAGCACTGAAAAACAAGGAACTCATAAAACATTACACAATATGGGAGACCCCAAAGGACATTATGCTGAGTGAAATATCTTAGTCACAAAAAGGACAAATACTGCCTAATACTAGTATTATAAAGCAGGACTGACATGGGTGATTAGGAGGAGAATAGGATAAGAGTAGATAGATAATGAGAGCTCTAGTGGCCTAGTGGAAAGAAGCTGTGCTGCAATCTGTAAGGCATGAGACTCAAATCCATGTTACAGTTACAATGTCAAGCCTTTTCAGTGAAAGTCTTCTTCTCTTTTGCTGACCCTCTATCCTTCCAAGAATGATATTCTTCTGCACTAGTTGGATCTGATTCAACAGTACACAACAAGAAGGGGGGGGGGAAGAGTGGACAGATCATGAATACGGCATTGGAACAGATGAAAGAACTGTCTAAAAGCAATATATGATTAAGCATTTTGTATGAAAACAGAATAAGAAGTATATTGCAACGTGGACTAGGGGAGGAGGAGGGAGGGAGAAAAAGGTACAACAACGAATAAATTTTTTTTAAAAAAGAAAGTTAACTAAAGGAGAGAGAAGGGAGAAAAATGTACAAAGTTGTTGTTGTTATGTGCCATTGAGTCGCTTGCGACTCATAGCAACCCTATGTACAACAGCCCTAAACTCTGCTCTGTCCTGACCCAATCACTGAATCAATCCACCTCATAGGGGGCCTTCCCCATCTGCGCTGTCCCTCCACCCTACCAAGCATGATGCCCCTCTCCAAGGACCTGTCCCTCCTTGCAACATGTCCAAAGTATGTCAGACGGAGCCTTAGAATCCTTGCCTCCAAAGAGCAGCCCAGTTTTACCCTTTTCTTGATGAATCTGTTTTCCTAGCAGTCCATGGTACCCTCAATGCTCTTCTCCAGCACCACAGCTC